ACGACTCTCTCCCGCTCGGGCGTCGTGGTGTCGGATCCCATGAGCTTGCTCAAGGCTGAATCGGCCAAGTTCGTCTCTATTTGGGGGGACGGGGGTGGCCAGGGCCTGTGCGGTAAGGATATGTTGCCATGCCCCCCCCCTCTCGAGCCCGACATCATCAGGGCCATGTCTAAGAAATATCGGCCCGCCTCTGCTGTCAGCTTGGACGGCTTCCACTGCCGTCATTTCAGCCTGCTCTCTGACGAGGCTCTGATGGCCATGTCTCTGTGGTTCTCGGTCATGGAGGCCACGGGGTCCCTGCCTGTCCAGCTCTCTTGGGTGCTGGTCGCTTTGTTGGCCAAGCCTTGTGGGGGTTTCCGACCCAGTGGGATCTTTTCGAGCTGGTACCGCGTCTGGGGCAGGTGCCGCCGCTTTGAAGCTCTTCGTTGGGAACTCCAGCACAGCCGCCCTTACTGGGCGGCGGGGGCCCACCGTGGGGCGGGGGACGTTGTCTGGAGGCAGGCCTTCAGAGCGGAGTCGGGGACTGTCAGAGGTCTGGTTAGTGCCTCTATGGTTTGGGACTTGCGTAAGTACTACGAGCATATCGACCTCGGCTTTCTCTGGGTTAAGTGCAAGCAGCATCAGTTCCCCTTAGGCATCGCGCGCCTTGCTATTCACGCCTACTCTTTGCGCGAGGTTCATGACTTTGGGGGGAATTGTCGACGGCCCCTTTTTATGCCCTGAAAGGGGTCGTCGCGGGTTGTACTGTCGCGACGAGCCTTATTAGGGCGTTCGCCTTGGAGGCGTTCGACTCCATCCCGAGGGGACCCGATTTTGATGTGTACGTTGATGATTTGAGCCTCAGCGCGAATGGCAAGCCCAGCTTTGATTTGAAGCATCTGGTTTCAGGCGCTAGAGCTCTGCACTCTGTGATCTCGTCGACGCTCAAGTGCAAGTTGGCTATGGACAAGGTTGGCATGGTCTCCAGCAGCAAGCACGTTTCGGCTGCGCTCTCTGCCGAGCTCGGGGGCTTAGTCGGCGATCCAGCTTGCACTCGGGTGACCAACTAGGTGTGGATTACACGGCTGGCAGAGCGGTCGGAGCTCCTGGGAAGAACAGGAGTGCCAACGTTAAGCAGAGGGCTGCAGCGGCCCTCAGGAAAGCTCGTCGTCTCGGGCAGCTGGGCCCCACGTTGGGCCGCAAGGTGGTCAAAATTTTCGCTTCTGGACCCTTGACGGGGGCTGTCTACGGATCGGACTTGTATGGGGCCTCTGACCGTGAGCAGTTGTCGCTTCGACGCATGGCCATGTCTTGCGTGAAACCTTCGGCCCAGGGTAGGTCCCTTTCCCGTCTTGTGTCTCTTAGAGGGGGACCCCACGTGGAGGGCCAGTTGTGCCCCTACCGTCCGCTGGGCCAATGAGGTGTGGATTCGTCAGACGAGGGCCTTTGAATGGGCCCTGAGTTGGGCTGAGCTTCGGGCTGGTTGGAGTTCTGTTTTCGGTAAGGAGGACTGGACCTGGGCCAAAGTTTCGGGACCTATCTCGGGGCTGAGAATGTCGCTGTGCAGGCTTGGGTGAACCATGCCCAATTTCACCACCCTCGTGGACGATTTCGGTCGCGAGATTTCTCTTACGTTGTCGCCGCCTAAGCTGGGGAAGCTTTTTTGCAAGGAGGCGGTCTTTAGGAGCCTCGAGCGGGAGTCGGGGGACAAGTTTCGGGCTGGTTTTCGTCTCTGCTGGGACGTCCCGAAGAGGCTTTAAGCGTCCAAGAAAATTCCTGGGGTTCAGAAGGGTATGATCCGTGCTCTTGCCACCAATGCCTGCTGGACTGCAGGAGACGCCGCTGACCTAGGTTATCCCATCTCCAGCTTGTGCCCGCTGGGCTGCGGCGCCAAGGACACCCTGTTTCACCGCCTCTGGGTGTGCCCGTGCGTGCAGGCCGAGCGGAACGAACACATACCGAAGTGGATCCAGCAAGCGGCGCTTGAGGTGCCAGAGAACGACCCCGAGGTAAAAGCTCTGTGGCTTCATGGTGCGTTTAGACATCCGGGGGATTGGGCTCCCAAGCCAGCCATCTCGCCCGACGGTGTCACTGTTGACTGGTATGCGGACCTGTTCCCTGATCCTGCCAGGCCAGGCTCGCCCCCCTCCCTGGTTCCCAGGGACGGCGTCAGGGGGCACATTTTCATGGATGGGTCCTGCACTAGGCATCAGGTTAGAGAGTTGTCTAGGGCGGGGTGGTCTGTTGTTATGGTCTCGGAGTCTGGGGAGAAGCTTGGGGTTATCAAAGGCCCCCTCTGGGCTCCTTGGCCCCAGACCCCCCAGGCTGCTGAATTCGGAGCCCTTGCCTGGACGGCGTTGTATACCGAGGGCCCAGCTCAGTGCTACTCAGATTGTGCGAACGTGGTGCTGCTGCAGAATCTTGGAGGCGCTGAGGCTATAGGCCCAGCCCGTCAGTACGCTGGCTTCGTCATTCAAGCTCGCCACCAGTTTGGCCGCTTGTGCGAGGGCTTCCACAAAGTGGCAGCCCACAAAGATGTGGAGGAGGAGGGTTCGTCGGCGGAGGAGCGCTTTCGGAGGTTGGGTAATGCGTATAGGCGAAGGATGGTGCGAGGCGCCACCCGACTACGACGCCGACGGAGGCTGAGGATTTCAGTCGCACGCTAACGATTGCGAGGGCTGTGTTGATGGGCGGAGCAGCGTTGCTCCCGCTCTGGCCCAAAGTCGAGTTCCGCGGCCTAGTGCGAGTCCAGCCGCCAAAGCCACCGCGTTCATCTCTGCTCGTGCTTGAGCACGATTGGGAACGCCAAGGAAGTTGTTGGAGGTGCCGTATGTGTTTGCGAGGCTCCAGAGCTTCATCCAAGCCGAGTGGCGGTTCGGAGTGTGCGGGCCGCAGCAGGCTCGACAGGTGTGTTCTGGAGCGTCTTTTGCATAGGGCGATTGCGTTCCCATGCGCTGATAATTCTTACCTGTTCCTTCGCATGTCGTGCAAGTTTTATAGCAGCGGTGGAGTTGTGTTAGGCCTAGGGCGTAAATGCGCCCCTCCTACGGAGTCTGGCGGGAAGAACATGCGTAAGCTCCGTAAAGGCCTGCACCCTGACAAGAAGGGTGTGTTCGTCGACATCGACGAATTCATCCCGCTGCTATAAGGTACAGGTTCAGTGCCTGCCAGTTGCGCCTCTGGACTGGTTGAGCAATTACTGTGCACAGAGGCCGCGGCGTTGCTGCCAAAAAAAGTAGGAAAGCGAACGAACGCACCCTGTGGTGCCTCTCGGATTTTGCTGTCTAGTAGTGCACTCGGATCGGCCCTTGCAATCGGAGACGTCTGGACGGGCCCGCCCGAAACAAAGACAGGGTTTCGGGGGCCCCATCCACTGCCTGTGCGACCACACAGCGAGGACAGCGCTCGAGCACCGGCCGACCCCCAACCCAGTGCCCTGGGCTGCCCTGGAAGGCTGGGCCCGCCCGAAACAAAGACAGGGTTTCGGGGACCCTATCTGCTGCCCGTGCGACCACACAGTGATGACAGCGCTCGAGCACCGGCCGCACTCCAGCCCAGTGCCCTGGGCTGCCCTGGAAGGCTGGGCCCGCCCAAAGCAAAGACAGGGTTTCGGGGACCCCGGAGGAGGAGGAGGAGGAGGAGGAGGAGGAGGACGAGGAGGAGGAGGAGGAGGAAGAGGAAGAGGAAAATGAGGAGGAGGAGGAGGAGGAGGAGGAGGAGGAAGAGGAGGAGGAGGAGGAGGAGGAGGAGGAGGAGGAGGCGGAGGAGGAGGAGGAGGAGGAGAGAGGTGGAGAGAGGTGGAGAGAGGAGAGAGGAGGACAGGAGGAGAGAGGAGGAGAGAGGGGAAGGGAGGAAGAGAGAGGAGGATAGACGAGGATCGAGAAGGAGAGAGTAAGGGAGAGGAGGAGAGAGGAGCAGAGAGGAGGAGCCTGGGCTGCCCTGGCAGCTCCGTGCTCGAGGCCCCGCGGAGGCGCTCAGGGGGGGAGGAGGCGGCGGAGGCGGAGGTGGGTCTGGGCGGCCCGGCACGGGGTTGTCGTGCAGCGGGGAGGCGGGAACAGGGGCTTTCAAGCAGTGGCGAAGCGTCCTGGCTCGCCTGTGGCCCTACCAAGCAATGCTCTAAGAGCCTTCCGTGGCTTTTCCACGAAATGTTCTCAGAGCATTTCTGGCGGAGAGCCCGTCTCGTTTTGACACACATCGGGCTTATGGTCTAAAAACATTGTGCTTGTTCTCAGAGTATTTTGGGGTGCTAAGAACCTTTCGTGGTAGGACTGTAGGAATGCCGGGACGGTCGGTCCCTGCTCAGGGCTTGGCATCGCTCGGACGTGTGCATTTGTCCTTCGGCGAGGACCATCGAGGAGCGTCCTTGATCATTTGGCGACAAAGAAGCACGCGCGAAACCGAACACAAAAAAACACAGGGAATGGTCGTCCGAGCGATGGCCACAAGGGGTGGAGGGACTGCCCGCAAAAGCATGTGGCAGCGAGCGGGAACGAGTCGGGGGTCGTAAGTACGGGGGTCAGCACGGGGTCTGCTCCTACGCCTGGAGGGGTTATGGGTGGGCTCATGGTCCGTGGCTTTCGCCCTTCGCGAGACGCGCAGGTAGTCTCTCTCGACAGAACCTTCGGACAAGCGGCAGCTTTCGGTAGACGTGGTGCAGCGGTCTCCCGTCGCCGCCGTGTGTCCGCGTTCTCGTCTCCATCTGCCACGGTCACGGTCGAGGCAGTCCGGGGGAATTTGTTGGGCCCCGTCGGCAGGATCGTCCTGGACCTCGAGCGTTGCTTGGGGCACGCACCCTCGGCAGTTCCTCGGTAGTTCCCGACATCGCAGGCCGCAGGGAGGCCGACAACACCGTCGCTGGCGACGCCGTTATCCTAGCAAACCGGCTGGGCCCCGCTTGCACGATCGTCCGGGGCCTCGCACGCCGCCTGGGGCCAGAGCCCTTGGCGGCACCCGACATCGCAGGCCGTACTACGGCCAGCGACGCCGCAGCTGGCGACGGGACACGGCCTAGATCTCCTCGAAGGTCGCGAGCTTCGTGTGGAGCAGCCTCTCCATAGCCGAAGAAGAACAGACGCCATAAGCGTAAGCTTTTTGGCGCTCCGCGCAGATTTCTTGGATCCGCGCTGGCCCCCCCCCCCCCCGGCGGCCCGCCCGGCGCGTTTGGCGCCGCCCCTGGCGCGCTCCGCGCGCCAGGGAGGTGGGTCCAGCGCGGATCCAAGAAATCCGCGCGGAGCGGTAACATTTTATGTTTGTGGCGTTTTTCTTCTTCTACATCGGCAACATGGGTGCCATGCCGCTCTTGATCTCGCCCCCCGGCTACTCCAGGCACTTCGCGATCAGCTCCGAGTCCGCCGACTTTCCCATTACCGCCTTGGCATGCGTATCCCTTTGCGTCGATGCCATTTTCACGAACGGGGGCCTGGTCTCGCACTCGTCCAACGTAGGGCAGGTCCTGGATTTCCTCCTTCAGCTTGCTCAGGCTGACTTTGTTCGCCCGCCCTACTCCGTCGCTCTCCGTCTCCAGTTTCCCCCGAGCATCCCGACCAGGGCCGCGCAGCGGATCGTGCCGTTCTCTCTCATCTCGTCGTCTGGCTTCACTTCAGCGCGCAGCCTCTGCATATTGGTCACCCACGCGCGCACCCCGTTCTTCGCCTTGGTGGGCTGGCGCGCCACTGGGGTCGGGACCGTCGTCCGCAGCATGGAGTCCGCCACGCGCTGCCGCATCCCCTGGCTCAGCAGCATCTTCGTCATGACTGGGACGAGCAGCTGGACCGCCTGGATCGGCATCTCGTTCAGGTGTCTTGGCATTGCTCGGACGTGTGCAATTTTCCGTCGGCGAGGACCATCGAGGAGCATCCTTGATTATTTGGCGAAAAAGCCGCGCAAGAAACCCCAAAAAACACAGAGAATGGACGTCCGAGCGATGGCCAGGTGTGCGAAGGCGCTCCAGTTGAGCATCTTCCCGCCCTTGGCTCGGTTCTCTCGCCCGCCTCGGCCTTTTTCTGCTTCTCGGCGCCTCCTGCTGCCGAGAAATGGCTGGCCAGATGATTTGCGTAGCGCTCCTCTGAGACTGATGTCTGCGGACAGCCTTCGCATTGGGCGATGGGGATGGGGATGACGTCATAGCTTAGGGGCGACCGTCTACCCTGCACCCACAGCAGTGACGCTTCCGTCATATGTCTGAGAGCAGTGCCTCTATCTTTAAACGAGGGCCTACATGCTACGCACTGGTAAGTTATGGTAAGCTTGGACATGAGCCCCCTATTTTCGTGCTGAACCCCCGAGACGTGCAGCTGATGTGCGCGAAGCGCTCGTTGACTTTGAAAGCGGCGGCCACAGGAAAGGCCGCTCTCACAGTCCATGCAGCACGCGTGGTCGCCGTCGGCGGCCTCATGCGAGTGGGCCTCGATCTCCACTGGCGCCGGCACCTTGAGCAGCCTCTCCGCCCTCAGTTCGGACATGTCGATCGAGACGACCTGTTCCCTCGCTGCCTCGTTGACGTGGAACACTCGTGAGCATGTCGATGCAGTCTTCCTTCTCCACCGTCTCCCAGAGTCGGGTATAGCCAGGACCCCGGGTAAGGGGACCCGGTTAATGGTAGGGCCCTGGGGCCCTTCAATTGGCCAGATTCACTAAACCAGGTTTGGCGTAACTGGTGTTTTTCGGGTGACGGCAGTTCCGGTTAGTGGAAGTGTCCCGGTACAAATCACTAAACCAGGTTCCACTAAACCCAGTTCTGCCAACGCCCGACAGAGACCCGGGTTTGGCTCGATGGTCCTGATTTACTCGAAGTCCTCGAAGATTTGTTCCGCCCATGGGTTGGTCGTAGCTGTCGAGGGTAGTTCGCCGGCATCTGGGTCCATCCACTTGAACAACTGCACTTTAGGCCCCTCGCATGTCATCATGCCGAATGCCGCCGCCAGTTGTTGCATGTGTCGGTCAGGGTTACGAGCCACCAGTTGCCATTCTCGTAGGCGCAGTACTCTGAGCTCCAGTCAAAAGGGTGAGAGTCGTAGTCCGTGCCATATCTGCTCCCTCGATTGTATTATGCTCGTGGTTCTCTCATCTTCTTCCGTTCGCTTCGCCACTCCACCGAGTAGGGACCTGCCGTGCTTTATGCACTCGACGTCTAGGCGGTCCGCCTGCGCGTTGGTCAGGCCAAGTGCGGGGATGCCAGAGAGCGCTGAGCCGACGATGATGCGGAAGACTCTGCGCTTGAGTGTCCATGACTTGCATGCTGCATGCGTGCCAGAACTTCCTCATTTGGGCCCACCCTCTCTTGATCACCTGGCATCTCGAGGATACCTCTTCCCACCATAACCCAGACGTATGGAAAACCGTGTCCAATAAGAGGGTCGAGTGTGTAACACAGCCGTGTAGAACATTGCCCTGGTGTACTTGCCGCCTATTGGTCTCACGAGCCTGGGCATGATACCTTTACTGGCAGTGCTCTGTGCGATGGCCAGTTTCATCAGCTCCCTGTCGAGCCTACAGTCGGACATATTGACGCACTCTCCCATGCTGTCAGGGTGGGCCACCTTGGGAGTCTCGTTCACGTCGTCGGCGTACACCCACAGGTGAGAGGTCCACCAGCTCCTTTAAAAGGCGGTGTCTCTGGCGCACAGTTCGTGGGGCCTGGCCTCGTCGGTCGCAGTGCTCCAGCCCGTGATGTGGATTTGGAGGACTCCTGGTAGAGGGTCGCCGCGTTCGCGTCGCCCATGTAGCACCCCACCTGTAAATTGAAGAGGGTGGTCTTGTCGTAGGGGAGCAACAAGTGGCATAAACATACAAACTCGGAGGTCGGCGCGGTGGAAGCCCGCTGAAACCAGCTCAATCCCGCTGAATGCGTGGCCTTATCCGGCGTGGCAAGCCCCCCAATGAGGTTTGGTCTTCTTTAATCCTTCCGAAGCAGAGCTCCCAAGGAACTTTCGTGGTTCCCGTTGCTGCTCTGAAAACTATGGGCGCTTGCCGCACGACCTCGGGTTGCACGACGGGCGCCAGCAGGGGTTGATTTTCACCAGTACGGGTTCGGGCCGTAGTTCTGCGGTTGTTAGGCTTCTTCTCTCCTCTCCGCCCCCCTGGGGGAGGAGGAGGAGGAGGAGGAGGAGGAGGAGGAGGAGGAGGAGGAGGAGGAGGAGGAGGAGGACCCCCTGCTCCTCGTGGAGTCTCTCTGCCCCCGAGCGCTCCTTGCCCTGCTGCCGCCCGCGCGTGTGCGGCCGGCACCCGGGGCGCAGGACTCCCCGCAGAAGGCCGCCCGGCCGCGCCCCGCCGCCGCCGCCGCGTGTGCGCAGCGTACGCCGCCGCCGTGCTCCAGAGCTCGCGTTCGGGCCGACGGGGGAGGAGGCAGACGTCGCCAGGGCGAGGGAGGAGGGAGCTCCTCCCTCCTCCTCCTCCTCCTCCTCCTCCTCCTCCGCCTCCTCCTCCTCCTCCTCCTCCTCCTCCTCCTCCTCCTCCTCCTCTCCTCTCCTCCTCCTCCCTCCTCCTCCTCCTCCTCCTCCTCCTCCTCCTCTCTCCTCCTCCTCCTCCTCCCTCCTCCTCCTCCTCCTCCTCCTCCTCCTCCTCCTCCTCCTCCTCCTCCCCTCCTCCTCCTCCTCCTCCTCCTCCTCCTCCTCCTCCTCCTCCTCCTCCTCCTCCTCCTCCTCCTCCTCCTCCCTCCTCCCTCCCTCCCTCTCCCTCCCTCCCTCCCTCCCTCCCTCCCTCCCTCCCTCCCTCCCTCCCTCCCTCCCTCCTCCCTCCTCCCTCCCTCCCTCCTCCCTCTCCTCCCCTCCTCCTCCTCCTCCTCCTCCTCCTCCTCCTCTCCTCCTCCTCCTCCTCTCCTCCTACTCCTCCTCCTCCTCCTCCTCCTCCTCCTCCTCCTCCTCCCTCTCCTGGTCCCCCCCGCCGTCATCCCTCGAGTGTTCCCCGAAGATTTTCTAGAGAGCGGGAATGACGGCGGGAGGGGCGGGATGGGGGAGGAGGAGGAGGAGGAGGAGGAGGAGGTGGAGGAGGGGGGAAGAGGGGGAGGAGTACGAGGGTTGGGGGTGGAGGGAGGAGAGGGGTGGAGAGCGGGGGGGAAGCAACGAGAGTGGAGGCAATGGAGGGCGGATGACGAAGAAGGGAGGGAAGGAAGAGGGATGAGATGCACGGAGGAAGGATGGAGGGGGAGCAGTTGACGAGAGGGCAGGGAGGATAGAGGAGGAGGAGATGGAGCAGCAGCAGGAACAGGGGAATGGCATCATCCTCTACGCATCCAGTGTGTGTCCTGTCCTTTTGAGTAGGAGACCGTCAACAATTGATTTCGTTATTCCAGAATTGTTTTGTTCTGTATCATCTGCGAAGAGGGCATTGAAGGCTCGTGGATTACGAACATTCTACGTCTTCGTTTAAGATCCGACGAGCAAAGTAATTGTAATACGGAGGCCGTTTCCTACTCAAGTCTTGTCTCCTCATATCTTTGTTGGTTTCCGTAGTATCTGCCAGATTCGCCTGCCGCGCTGCGATTGACGGCCAACCTTGAATTGCACATCCTTTTCCGACTCGTGCTTGCCAATTGGTTGTTGATTGACAGCGGTTCACACCATGAGTGGTTTCCGCTCTTGGTCGCGTTCATCCTTTCGGATGTTTCATCTGAACCAGATGCCATCTAGACGAAGGCGTGTAGTCTAGTATAGACTTGAACATGGACTGCGTGATGCTCTGTCAGCTCTCGGCTCCGTGGGAAGGTGGCATCCCATAACGCGTGCTCCCCTTAAAGAAGGCGCCGTGGGCCTTCTACGAGGGCGTCTCTACCTAGGACGGTCCCCGCGTTTTCAGACCCCCTCCACCCTGTTGCACACCGCTTCTGGGGCCTCACTCTGTCGGGCGCTGTCGCGTTTGGCATCTGTGCGTGCGTAGCTATCGGCGGTCCCACCGCCGTGCAGCCAGCTGTCGGCCCTGGAGTGGTACCGCGACCGCCTTCTCTCCTATCCACTCGAGGCGAAGCAACGAGGAGGAGGAGGAGGAGGAGGAGGAGGAGGAGGAGCAGGTGAAGAAGGAGGAGGCGGCAGAGGAGGAGGAGGAGGAGGAGGAGGAGGAGGAGGAGGAGGAGGAGGAGGAGGAGGAGGGGGGATGAACGATTTTGGTATTGAGGAGAAGGCGGCCGACAACGACAGCGGTAGCGGGGGCGCAGTTGGAAGAGCAGTAGGGGGGCGGATGCCGATGAGTACGGCGGCGGAGGGAGAGGATGAGGAAGAGTTGTCCAAGCTCCTCTGGCGACCTCCCCGGCCGAGGAGGAGGAGCCGCAGAAGCCGTCTCCCGCGAAGGCCTGGGCCCGCCCCGCCGTTTTGGTTTCGCTGGCCGCCGCTGTTGACTCGAGATGTGCGGCTTCTCTCTCTCTCTCTCTCTCTTGCGCTCGCGGCCCCGGGGGGGGGGGGTTGAACCCCCCCCCTTGGGGGTGGGGGTTTCGGGAGGGTGGGGGTTTGGGGGGGAGGGGAGTCCCCCTGGTTTTGATCGACGGCGCCGAGTGTTGTGGGGGGGGGCCCACCCCCTTGTTCGAGACGCGCCGCCGAATGTTCCCAAGGCAAGCGCCCGTGAAACGCGTTTTCTCCAAGATGAGCATACTATATGTTTGGATCGGACGCGCGCCTGTCCGATGGAAGCGACACCCAGCGTGGTCCCGCAGCCTTGCCACGGCATCCGCTCCACGAAAGCCCGACGCCCTCCGCCAGCGCCACGCCCGCCGCTCGCAGGCTGGTCCCAGGGGCCGCGTGCACAGCGACCCGGCCCGCGGGCTCGTGAGAGGCCCCGTCCACTCGGAGAGTAAGGCCATACGGTGCTGTCGGTCCCCGTCTGCGCCGACTCAGTCGGGTGGACTCGGCCTCTCCTCGAGGGCCCCCCCCCCGCCACTTCGGCGTCGATCGGAGGGCACGGCCAACACGCGGAAACAAGGAACCGCTGGTGTTCCGAAGGGGGCTCGGCGTTTCTTTCCTAGCGTCCCTCGTCCACGCAGGCGCCGTTGGGGCCCCCAACGAGGGCAATCCGTTCCTCGTCTGTCGTTCCCCATGTCGAGAGCCGGGCTGCATCGACGTGTGCACCGCGCCGCTCGGTTGGCCAGGGAGCCACGGCGTCCGGCGCGGTTGTTCGGCCTAGACGCCGCAGCGTCCCACGGGTTATTTGGGCCGCTGAGGCGTCTGTACACACCGAGCTCCTTGGCCGACCAGACGACGTGGTCTGTACATGGAGCCCCTGCCAGTGGATTGCTGTTGCTGTTGCTGGCGCAAGCTCATGCGCTTCCCCCTGCTGTTTGGCCGAGTGGCCGGTGCGGTGTGCTGTGCCGACCGCTGCCCGCAGGGACCACCCGGAAGTCGAGGCCGCCTTTGGTGGGGAACGTGCTCGGGCTGCCTTTGTTGGCTGCATGTCGCTCGGACGGGTGCGGCTCAGCCACCCCGACGAACAGCATGGGGGGATGCACACACACACAAACACAAACACAAACACAAACACAAACACAAACACAAACACACACACACACACACGCACGCACGCACGCACGCACGCACGCACGCACGCACGCACGCACGCACGCACGCACGCACGCACGCACGCACGCACGCACGCACGCACACACGCACACACGCACACACGCACACACGCACACACGCACACACGCACACGCACACACACACATACACACACACACCACGGTGCAATGTCTCCGCAGTGGCGCCGAGATGTCATCGATTGTCATCGGAATTGTCGTCGGTCAAAGATTGTCATGAGAATTGTCGCCGGTCAAAAAAAGTCACCCCGATGAACAGGGCTGACTTGAGCCCACTCGCTCGGGAGGCATCGAGAGGGGGATCGGGATGGCGGGGGAATGGAGGGGAGGGATCCCAGCCCGGCCGAGCCCAGCCCACCTCAGAGCCCAACCCAGGCACCAAAGCCGACTGGACGTAGGAGTGACCTTTCGCAGGAGTGACCCTTGGTGCGGGCACAGGTGGGTCCCCAGATGGCTGAAAACGTAACAGTAGCAGCTGCCTGCGCGCCCAGGTTTGGTCTCCCCGCGGCCCCCGAAAAGCCGCGCACCAAATCTCACTCTTGCCCAGGGTCACTCTTGCGTACAGTCGGGGCGCTGACTGAGGAACCCTTTTCGTTGGGGAGGGGCTCGGTGTTCCTTGCTTGTTCTGCAGTGTGCCTTCGGTTCTCCTGAGGTTTCCCATGGGAAATCGAAGTTCAGCTTATGGGAGAAAGGGGCCTCGTTCCCGACGAAGATTGGGGGGGAGGGGGGCGGGAGGCAGGCGAGATCCCAGCCCGCCCCAACCCACTCCGCGCCGGCCCCGCCCAGACCGGCAGGGGCGGGGGGGGCGGAGAGGCGGGAGGGAAGGAGCGAAAATGGAGCCCAGCCCCGCCCCGCCCAGCCCAGCAGCGGCTGGGAGCGAGGGAGCAAAGAGGACGAGGCGAGGGAAGATGAGGAGGCAGGGCCGATGGAGGACTGGGAGGGGGAGGGGGGGGGAGGAGGAGGAGGGAAGGAAGAGGAGGAGGGGAGGAGGGCTAGAGGAGGGAACAACGAGGAGGAGGAGGAGGACGAGGAGGAGGAGGAGGAGGAGGAGGAGGAAAAGGACAGCTCAGGAGAAAAGGAGCGGCGGAGCGGGAGGCACCCCAGCGAGGAGCCCCCATCGCCGCTCTCGACCCCCGCCGCGCTGGAGGCGCAGCCCAAGAGGGCGGAGAAGAAGGAGCAGCCGCCGCCGGCGTCGACGCCGCCGAAAGGCCCGGGTGGGGGCGCGGCCAGCGCGACGGCGGCGGTGGCGCCGAGGACGCCGAAGACGAGGCACGACGACGCCGAAGATGACGCCTGCAACGGCGCCTACGAGGGCTCGCTGAGGACGGCGGCGGCGGCGGCGGCGGAGGCGAAGCCGAAGCCGAAGGCGGCGGCGACTGCGGTGGCGCGGTGACGGAGGCCGCGGCGACGGGGTAGCGGCGATGATCGTGAGGAAGAGGGGTCGTGGAGGAGAGGAGTCCTGGGCGTCTTTCGCCGTTTGCGGGCTCCCGGGGCCCTCTCGCGGGCTCCAGTTCTGTCAGTCCGCGGCTCGGGGTGCAGTCTGCGCCCTCGGAGAGCCCCGAGGGACCAGAGCCCCTCGTGCCGAGCGCGGGCACGGGTGGGTGGACGCCTCCGCGGATCTCCAGAGACCCGAAGATGTGGGCTGTGACTTCTTGTTCGCGTGATCTGCCTCAGTGCATCTTGTCTTGGTCACGGGGCCGCCAAAGCTCATTCCCGATTGCACAGTCTACAGTGGTGGTGGTCTGATTTGCGGGTGGGGCTCTGATTTTGGCTGTTTTGGAGGGTCCAAGTCGGGTTTCCGCAAAATGCCGCCCTTTCATGATTGGCCTGGGGGGATATAAAATTGATCGTCCGGGAGGATTGCCCCCCCGTTCGTTGCGAGGTTTCGATTCGCCTGGCGAAGGAACCAACCCTCTGGAGCTGCGTTTTAGCCCAGGGCGCGAGCTGCGATGCGGGCTGTTGCGGAGCAGGTTTTTTCCCAACCATCCTGTGGTGTTGGGTCCTCGTTTTGAAGAGACGGTGCCCCGCGTCTCTCCTCCTCTCCTCCTCCTCCCCCTCCTCCTCCTCCTCCTCCTCTCATCATCAGCATCATCATCATCGTCATCGTCACCGTCATCATCAGCATCATCATCATCATCGTTCTTATCACCATCGTCGTCATCATCATCGCCGTCTCCATCATGGCCACACGTTTCGTGGACCCATAGTGAGCTCCACCGAAGGCCCCAGTGGCAAGGTCCGCATGCGGTTCCACCTCCATTTCGGCGCACCCCTCACACGTTCCGTGGCCCCATAGGGAGCTCCACCGAAGGCCCAAGTGTCAGGGTCATGCGGTTCCACCTCCATGCGGTTCCACCTCCATTTCGGCGCACCCCTCACACGTTTCGTGGCCCCATAGGGAGCTCCACCGAAGGCCCAAGTGTCAGGGTCCGCATGCGGTTCCACCTCCATTTCGGCGCACCCCTCACACGTTTCGTGGCCCCATAGGGAGCTCCACCGAAGGCCCAAGTGTCAGGGTCCGCATGCGGTTCCACCTCCATTTCGGCGCACCCCTCACACGTTTCGTGGCCCCATAGGGAGCTCCACCGAAGGCCCAAGTGTCAGGGTCCGCATGCAGTTCCACCTCCATTTCGGCGCACCCCTCACACGTTTCGTGGCCCCATAGGGAGCTCCGCCTAAGGCCTAAGTGGCAGGGTCCGCATGCAGTTCCACTTCCATTTCGGCGCACCCCTCACACGTTTCGTGGCGTAAGGCCCAAGTGGCAGGCAGCCCCGCCTCACACGTTTCGTGGCCCCAGAGTGGCCCAAGTGGCAGGGTCCGCATGCAGTTCCACCTCCATTTCGGCGCACCCCTCACACGTTTCGCGGCCCCATAGGGAGCTCCACCGAGGGCGCCAATGGCAGGGTCCGCATGCAGTTCCACCTCCATTTCGGCGCACCCCTCACACGTTTCGCGGCCCCACAGGGTGCTCCACCGAAGGCCCCAGTGGCAGGGTCCGCATGCAGTTCCACCTCCATTTGGCGCACCTCTCACACGCTTCGTGGCCCCATCGGGTGTTCCACCAACGACGATACTTACAACGGCGGCATTCGGAATTGCGTATGGTTGGGCCCTTCGCCAGGATAATTTGAGCTCCACGCTCCCATCAAAGACCTCTCAGCGAGGACCAGTCGCCCACCTGCTAAGATGAAGGGCAGGGGGCCGAAAACTGCTTCAGGCACACGTGTAAAACAGCACTGCATGATAGCGTCAGTGTCCACAGTGACACCCGCAGGCCGCTGCCTGTAATGCGGGCGACGCCCTCGGCACAACGCGCTCCAGCTGTATCTCGCAGCTCGAGACGGAGGAGGCTGGCACTTGGACCCGAGTCCACGCACAGACGCACCGCTGGAGTACGATTTGCAACTCTTGCAAATGAATAAAAGAGAGCCGCCAGAGCAATCGAACGCGATCGTGCGATGCTCTGAGGCGTCCAGCGGGCAAGTTCCAGGTGGATGTTTCTCCACAGACCTTTTCCCACGGAGGCAGATGGCGCAGCGCCAAACACCAGACCAGGATTCCCAGCGGTGCCTTGCAGGAGCCTCGGCGGCAGAGGGCACGGCTGGCACACGCTCAGCCTCAGAAAGGTCAAGGGGCAGCATCAAGCTTGTCGGCGCAAGACGTGTGCAGATGGACGGCGTGCTTGGCAGCAGCGTCCGCGCGTGGTGGTTGCCGAGGCGCCTCCAGCGCTCGGCAGCATCGATTTCGCTCTCGTCGAGCTCTTTGTGAGCTGCGACCTTGGCTCATGGGGCAGGCTGAAAGCCCCGGGCGTATAGCTGCAGGAAGGCTCCAGAATAAGCCCGCACTCCCGAGAGCTGCTCACCTCTGAGCCTACAGAGGCCAGCTTAACTACATTACTATGATCAGAGACAACCGAGATCGAGGATGAGGCGAGCACGTCGGTCCAAATCCAGCAGGTAAATTCGGCGGACTGGGGCGTCTGAGAATAAGGGGCCCTGACGGGGGCCCTGAATTCAGCAACAGAGTCTCCCTGGTCGTCGATCATGACAACGCTACTGGCGGCACGAGAGAGCCCACGAATGACGTGTCTGCTGCTGGGCCCGTCAACAAACACATTACCACAGACCTCCGTGCCAGGCTCTTGGCCCGAGGGAAACACTTTATCTTTCCGGTACCACACAAGAAACGGACCATCCCCCGAGTCAGTGAGGGGCCTGGGATATTGGTCGGCGGGGTGGCGGAACACCCCTGCTATGAACACGAGCGCATCATCTTCGATGTCTTTAGCGGCCAGCGCAGGTTCCACGGTGCTGCTGCCTAGTAGGCTCGATTGGCGACTGGTTCGTGCACGCATTCGCACAGCCGGTGGAAACTCGAGTCGAGGCAGCCGCAGGAGGGACAGAGGCCATCCACCAGGTAGCCTACGGTCGCCAGTAGAAAAAGGCCTCCGTAGCGAAGGCTCGGACGCGGGCCTTCTGAATGGCCGTGTATTTATTTTGGGCAAGCACCTCGCGTAGCACATCGTAGCACAGCATAGGGAAAACCCCCTTCTTTTCAGCAGAAAGCCATTCTATCATTCCGAAGTGCCCGTCTTTGACCAGGATTTCGACCAGAGCGGGCGAGAAGATACCGAAGGGGATAACGAAGCCGCGATCACCTCGCACCGTCATAAAGTTATCCATGCACCAGCCGGGGCGGACCAGGGACATCCTGAGAGCGGTCACAGGACCCGCAACAGACCGCCAGGAGCAAACAGGGACCGAAAACACAGCTTCCCACGCACGACGCAAGGCAGGGAGGGGCATGCCCCACGCATGCGCTCCAGACTGGCTACGCCATATCTCCTTCCATCTCACAATTGGGGCGGCGGCGGCGCGCCGGCGCGGATCGAAGTCGAGCAGGGCAGCCGCGGTCAAGGAGCGAAGCCGTGAGCGAGGCCTAACCGCGGACAAATACTTGCCTACGAGGGCGCAGCAGCTCCAGATCGCTCGCGCCCGCGATTTCAGCGCCGCGCGAATCCCCCGCCAAGGGGCCCGCCGAACAAAGAAAAAAAAAGCCAAAAACACGAAGGGCCCAGGGCCGAAAGAGGATCTTGTTTTGCCTCTAGAGGCGCTTAGCAACACGAGAGGCCTTCGCAATGCGCATCTTAGAGTTGACCGAGCGACCTTGGACCCTGGGCGCGCGGCGTGCCGCGTGGTCGACGCCCAGGTTGACAGCGCTCGATGTAAAGTTATCTCCAGGGTCGGGCATCCCGAAGGACACCTCATCTCCTAGCGCCTTCGAGGAGGCCACCGCGGCAGTTTTGTCGAGAGTAAGAGAACAACCGAAACAAGTTTCGACCGCAAGATGGAGCGCCCTGGCCCCTTCGACGACCGACCTCAGAACGACGCGGTGGGGGCCCGCGCCCGAGAGACCCTGATCGTCGATGTACACATCGAGGTCGGGACTAGGCTGGGCAGACAGGGATTCGCGCCCGTCCTGACAGAAGACTGATGAGCGTCGTGGCCGTCGAAACGCAAGCGATGACTTCTCGAAGGCTGACGTGGGGGCCTTCCAGCTGCCCCCCCCCCAAGCGCAAGAAACAACCGCACCTGCACGCGTAAATGCACAACCTAGCGATGGCCACAGGGAGCCCATGTTTCTCACAACGACGTCAGAGTTCTTTGAGACATATGTGTTTGGTGGGACTTGCGAAGGTCAAAGAGCGCGCTGCACGAGGATCCCCCCCTGGCCGAACCAGCCTCAGCAGCGACAGCTTGTGTCCAGACGACGTCGGCCGCCCATCGAAACTGGCCAGCGGCCCAGTACCTCCGGGGGTGTTGCTGCGCTCAGTTCAATGCGAGGGGCCGCCGACGGCGGCCCCGGACCCTGAACCAGGAGCAGAGCACCCCGATCGGCCTGCAGCCGCCAGTCGGCTGCGGGAGGAGGGCAAGGGCGACCGCCGAACTCTGCGGTGGCAGGCAACCCACTGACTCCATTACATAGAAAATGACGCTCAGGCAGTCGAGAGCGGCGTCAGATAGCAACGAGAGGTGCTTGAAATGCAGTCCGTCCACAGCCGCGGCCGAAGTCTCCCTGTGCGATTTTGAGATGTCGCGGGTTTCGCTGGCAGAAGCGGGGGAGAGGCCCGCGCAAATGTCCATCAAATTGGGCGCCGAGACCCTCTCCCCATGCGCTGCTGAATCGTTCGCCTTCAGCCTTGAGCAACGAGAAAGGATCATTGACGACGCGCCCTGCAGCGGAGAGGGTTGAGGAGGGGGCCCATGTCGTTGGATCCTCACTGAAGTGGTGGACTCGCCCTCGCTCCCTTGCCCGCCCCCGCGCGCAGCCATGCAGGCCTGCCCGCGCGGCTTTGGGCAGCGCACTTGGCGCCAGAAGCCTGCCCAGCATCATGCGCCTGAGCGCGCAGATTATCGAGTGACTCGACGCCCCCGTCCGAGTCTAAAAAGGCGGCGGCCCCCTGAGCCACGCGACCGAAGAGCGACGCGTTGTCGGCCACCGAGGCCTAGATGATGGGCGGGGGCACCACCGGCAAGCAGCCGAACCTCGCAGCGGTGGCGGGCGCACCTCCACGGCGAGAGCGCATGAATGTGCGAAGCTGTTGCCCTAACCATCTGGTGGCACGGTGAGACGGATAGCGCGCGTTCCCGTCCTTCGACAGAATCGGTTTCCACGCAAGCCGAGGGCCGAGGCCTCGAGTTCCGAGCATAGGGGGAGAGACCCCGATAAGAGGGGAATGAGGTCACGCTCGGCGCGGTCAGCCTAAAGACGATAAGGATGACCCGACAATCTCTCGGCCCCATGTGGCCCCCCTTCCTTCAAGCACTGCTCTGCCGAAGCAGCGAGGGCGATCTCTCCATCCCAGTTGCTTTCCTGAGGGGAGGGGCCGAACACCTGCTGGCATGGTAACGGGGGGGGGGGGGGGCTTCCTGAAGGCGAGCGCCTGGAGGGCTGCCAGCTGGGGGTGGAACTCCAGCTGGACAGGCCGATGGGGCGATATGTCCGCGCCCGCGTCGATCGCCTTGAGCCCCTTGGCCAGACCTCCTTAGCAGACAATAATCGAAGGCGGTGTGGGGGGGGGGAGCAGGGTAATGCGTTGCAACCAAGAGGAAAATGAGGCTGCCCCTCAACTCAGACACGAACGCAGAAGACTCGAGTTCAGCAGGCTCGAAGTTGAAACCGACCCCAAGCACCCGCGGCTGGCCGACTGCAGACAGCTTCGCACCTAACTTGGCGAGTTGGCCGAGATTCGCGTCGCTGAGGCGTTCAGAATGACGAAGGTAGGCAGACGCAACCACTATGGGGGGGGGGGTCAGCAAGATGGACCGAGCGCGCGATGCATCGCCCAGGCGTCGCGATGGCATCGTCGGTGGACAGGCAGCCCATCCAGGAGCGCGCGAAGATGGCGACCCCCCCGATCGTGTCTCGGGCATGGGCGGGGGCGGTCGGGGCCCGGGCCGACTTCCATCCCATGCGAATGCGCCGCGCATTGGCCTGCGCGATGTCCTCCGCCGGAATCAGACGGCGCTCCTGAGCGGGCGCAATGTGAGCAGAGCAATCTTCCAGCAGACCCTTCAACGTGTCCCGCGAGTTGGCATTGATGGTGTGAATCGTGAGGGGCGCCAGATTATCTGCTGAGACGCCAGCCGAGGAGTGCTCGCTGCCTACTGGAGGCGCTGGCAGCGGAGGGCGCACGCTGCTGGCCTTATGCAACGAAGCATTCAAGTTGGCAGAGCTGCGCGCGTAGTTCTACGATCCTGAGAGAGAGGCCTCTCTCTCTTGCCATTGCCATGTTCTCGAGCGCGCCAGCTTAACGCGGGGGCCAGAGGAGAGATGGCCGCGGGGGGGCCCTCCGCGACGGCCTTCCACGGTGGCTTACCAAGGGGGGGCACAGGATACAAAGCCCTAGGCAGCGGGAGGTCCAGCGAAGCGCTGGCAACTTCATCAGACTGCTTGGCGACTGGTGGCGACTTGCCGCAGGCCCCCCTCCTGCGCCAGAGGACGGCCTGCGCTGCGTAGGGGGGCCTCCTCAATATTGCGCGAATTTTCAAATCCCCCCTGGAGGGCGCCCAGCGAGCGACGGACCCGCAGACCCCGAGCGATCGAATACTCGAACGACGAGGCGGGGTCTCTATGGCGCGCCTCCAGCGGGGCGACAGATCAGACTGCGGGGCCACGTCTGCGATGCGGTCAGCGCGCTCACGGGCGGTGCCTGAGGATGGAGCCGCGGGCGGATCGCCGCTGGTGGCCTCGGAGCCAGTCGCCGCCGCCGCGTCGGCGCCGGGCTGCAGGGGGGCGCCCTTGCCCGCGAACTTGCCCCCCGCGGCTGCAGCAGGCGTGGCTGGCACAGGACGCTCAGCGGCCGCAGGCGACGCGGAGGCTGGGCGCTTGGCCGCAGCTGCTCCAGCACCAGGCCGACGGGCAGCAGGCGGGGCACCTCCGCCCCCGTGCATCTCAGCCTCGTCGTCGTTGGCGCGACGGCGCTTGGCGGCCAACCTCTTGAGGCGCGCCGCGCGCGTCTGCTTGAGCTCGCCCACCTTCTGCTTCGCGTCGGAAAACAACGAGCCTTTCTTGAACTGCTGAACCCGCGGCTCAATCTCCATGTTGTCCTCTTCATCGAGGTTCAGGCCGTCGCATTTGAACAGATCACACGCGCTGATGTCGAAGATCTGCGCGAGACGATTCTGATCCATGGTGTACTCGAGAGAGAGAAAGAGAGAGAGACAGAGAGAGAGAGAAAGAGAGATAGCTTCCACTGTGGCGTGGTGACTTCTCCTTCGGCACCTCTTGCGACTCCAGCATGCACTGCGCGAGGGAGTTGTGCTCGGCCTCAGCGGTGACGAGATCACTTCGCAACTCCAAGACCGCCGGCGTATGCTCGTCGAGCTGGCGCAGCAAGGTGTCGTGCTTCTCGAGGGCTGCCTCGAGCTTCTGGTTGGCCCCGCGTGCCTTCCAATTGTCTTTGTGGAGGCGGATCTGGATGGACTTTCGACGGCCTGATCACCGCTGGGGGCCGAGGAGGGGGAAGAGGCAGGAGGAGGAGGAGGAGGAGGAGGAGGACCAGTGTAAACCCAAGAGTCCTCCTCCCTCCTGGGACGTCCTTCGGCGCGGGGAGGGCCTCGGCTGCGCGGCGGTGATCTTCGGCCTGCTTCCGGGTCGCCAGGCTCGTCGCACAGAGGGGGCCCTCGTCCCGTGCTCCTCCGCCGCGGGGTTCGCATCTCCAGCGGCGCCCGTGGCAGGAGGCTGCTGGCCCCCGCCTTCCGCTGGGCCGCCGCAGCCCCTGCCGAGGGGGGGGCCCCCCCGCCTGCGCCGTGGCCCTTGCCGGGGCCCTTAGTCAGGAGGGAAAAAACACAGACACAATTCATCGTCGATGCCCCGGAAGATATGGGAAAAGATGGGAAGTGGGGGGGAAGACAAAAACCCAGAACATATGGGAAAATATGGGACCTCCGGGTATTTGTGTGCATTCATTTGTGTGTCCTGGGGCCCCTTCCCTTAGTGTCCCACGCTGACGCGCCATTGTGAAAGTTGCCGTGGCCGAGCAGCTGAAGGGCAGCGCCGCATTGCCAGGCCGTGGACTGTCCAGCGGAAGGCTCGTGGGACCCGCAGCGCTTGCAGTAGAAGGACCTCTCAGCATCCTTGGCGCAGCCACGTACTTCGCACTTCCACTTCTCGGTCTTAGGATGGCTCTGAGCTGCGTCGGAGACAGCGCCCGCGCCGAGCTGCGGACCGGGAACCAGAGGGGGCCAGCCAGAGCCGACGCGGCCATGTTGACCTGGGAAGCCCTTGCCCTTGCCATAGTACCCCTGCTGGCCACAGGACATCGCTGAAGTAGGGCCGTTGTCTTGACGTTTGGAGGGCGAACTCCAATGAATGTGAAGTCCGAGCTGGGGCGAACCAGTCGGAGAGGAAACGTCGGGTGCAAACGCCCTGGCATTGCCGCGGACTAGTGGCATCCACTTGTTTCCCACGGAGACAAAGCCTTGAGCCAAACTGGCTACGGAGTTGCGGAGCAGGTGCGCTGGGTTCCTTGCCGGGGCGAGCTGGGCTGAGGACCCCACGTGAGCAGGTGGAGCTTCCTGCTTGGGTTCTGATGTCCCAACCTATTTTAGCTTTGATCACCAGAAATGATTTCGAGCACCAAGGAAATAACGAAACTTCGTTCGACACTGTTTCGATCATTTTTATCTGAGTGCTCGAAGTCATGTATGGGAGCAACATAATGCTTGGGGCGAAGAGTGGCCGGTTGGGATCAAGGCGGAGGGCGGGGATGCATGCTATTGGGTGTCGGGAGGAGGAGGAGGAGGAGGAGGAGGACCCTGGAAGCTCCATGTTCGATTTTGGGCTCAGAGCTCGACGCCCAGACCCGCTCCGGGGTGCAGTCTTCAGGAGGGAAGAAAACACACAGACACAGTTAATCATCGATCCCCCAGACAATCTGGGAACATATGGGAATTGGGCGGGAAGACAACGACCCTGAACATATTGGGAATTCTTTTATTTGTGTGTATTTATCTGTGTGTCCTTGGGCCCCTTGAAGGCTGCCCAGAAAGGCAAGGCGGGCCCCGCCGTGGCGGCAAGAGGCCCCCCGAGGACCCGAGCAGGGCGAGACGTGCAGAAGTGCCCTTGGCCCTCGCGGCTCGGCCGGTTCGGTTCCAGCCCGGGTTCCAGGTCTCGGTTCGGTTCGCGGCCATCAAGATTTGCGTCCCCCCCCGCACGCACGTCCTCCTCGGCGTTTCAGACAGGTATAGGTGTCGATTTTGGGATTCGGACCGATTTTAGGGGGGGCCTTGAAGGGGCGAATGGTGCCCCCTCTTCCTCCGTATGGTCGCTTTGGTGAAGAAGCGGGACAAGTACGTGCATGTCTGACGCACGTTGCCCTTCTCCTTCATCCTCCAGGGGCGTACTCTTGCGCTCGAGGAATCTGGCGCCCCCGGGATGTATGCCCCCTGCTGGCGCCTACGCAAATGGCACGCGCGTGGTCGGGACGCGCGTGGTCGGCACTCCGGCCGCGTACACTCGTGCGTGGGAAATTCAGCGCCGCCACGTTGGATCCCCCTTTTCGCTGACGCGCATGAGAATACGTGCCCGTCGCACTCCCGCCAATCGCATCCACGCCCTCACTGCGCGCGCGTATGTTCACGCGCGCGGAATCCAGCGCTTTCACGTTGAATGCTGTTGCTCGCGTTTACGGAAGCACGCACCACATGCACGCGTGCCGGTCGCATGGTCGACACGACCGCCCCGCGCCAATTTCGACGTGCAAGCATTCGGCGCCTCCCTGTTGCCGCCTCCATTGTGGCGCGCTCGCGTGTAGAAGTTGCCATGTGCGTTTGAACGTCACGCATGTTTGACGCCCTGCTGTTCGGATGCAACTCCTGGGAGGTCAAATTCTGATCTTGCCCTGGTCCGAAATTCGGCTTAATCCGGATTAATTCCGCTTAATCCTGCTTAATCCGGCTTGATCCCGCTTAATCCGGCTTGATCCCGCTTAATCCGAGGCCCACTCCGGCGTAATAGTTCCCAAATGGGGCTTATTCCTCCGTAATCTTTCCGACGAAAACCTCCCAGTAGTTGCCTCCTAATTGTTGCGTGCACTTTCAAGTATTTCCGCGCATGAAGATCCCCGCGGCCCTTGGTTGGATGCCCCCCATGGCGTGCCGACTCGTGCAATCACGTTGCAAATGCACCTATGCTTATGATGTTCCAACCTACTTTAGCCTTGATCACCAGAAAGAATTTCGAGCACCATAAAAGTGCCGAAATTTGAGGGATTGCGGGTGACGGGCCCTGTGAGACACTCGTCCGACACTGTTTCGACACTGCTTCGACACTCTTTTGACACTTTTCCGGGTGCGCGAACTTATTTCTGGGATGTGGTCCTTAAGTAGGAAGGGAGCAGCATAAACCAAGTCCTTGTTCGATACCTTTGTCCGCGCATGAGTTTTCATGCCTGGCAGATCCGGCGACCCGTGTTGGATCTCCCTTTTGGCGCGCACGCGCGTGAGAGCAGATGCCGGACTCCCGCATTCCAAGCGCATCCTCGACCTCCTCCGCACGAGGTTTGTTCACGCCGTGCGAATCCGGACCCCCCATGTCGGATACCCCGTTGGGCGCCCACACCGATGGAATCTCACGCGTGCGAAACGCGAGTTCGACCCCGCTTTTCGCGTGGATGATGTTGCGCGCGATGAATCCGACGCCCGCGTGTTGGACAATTCTATTGTCGCGTGCGCGCGTAAACATACATGCAAAAACACACGCATGTTTGACGTATGTTCGATACCCCCCTGCGCGCACGTGCTATTATCACGTGTGAAGAATCCAAGGCCCCTGTGTTGGATACCCCTTTTGGCGCATACACCAGTGCAAACGCGTGCCAAAAGCACTCGTGCTAGGCACAAGTTCGCTCATCATCCGAGCACGAGTGTTTGACGTGTGAAAGGTCTGGCACCCCCGTGCTCGATACCCCCCTTGGCACATAGGTGCATGAAAGTACGTGCCAGATGCGCTCGTGCCGCGCGCATGTTCGACGCTTCCCCTACGCGCACGAGACCGCGGCCCCATGGTGTACACCCCACATGGCGTCTGGCGCTCACGCGCGCGAAAATATGTGCAACCGCCGCGCCTTGCATGCCAGACGCAATTGCGATCCCCGCGCGCGGATTTGCACGCGCGAGAAACGGGCGCCCGCATGTTGGGTACCCTTCATGGTGCCCAGCACCCACACGCGTGGAAGCACTTGCCACGCGCGCGTACCAATCGCATGCCCGACACCCCCCTCCGCGCACGTATGCCCACGCGTGAAGGATCTGACGTCTGGCGCTCGACCTCCGCACGGTGCAGTGCCAAGGGCCCGTCGAACAGAGGGGAACCCTGGGTTGGAGTCCATACTGGGGAAACCTTGATCGTCTGCCTTCGATCCTACGTTCAAAGCGCATAGTTAGGATAAGCGAATATCTACCCTTGCATCCTTGCCCTTCGGTTCTTCCTTGGCCACTTCCGTTGGCCGCGCCCCGCTCGGCAGGTGTCGACATGGCCCTCAAAAGCTCTGTCTTTACCATCGCGCCTCACTCTTACACGCGTTGATTGTGTTACCCATTCGTCGTCGTTGTCGCGACCGCTTCTGAGTGGGGAGGCGCCGCGGCTGCTGCAAAACCCGTGGCTGAGAAGAAGCTCGCCGGCGCCGGCATCCCGCTGCTCGTCAGCAAGTGCGAGAACGACACCATCAGCGAGATCATAATGGGCAGGCGACGCCGCGCGGGCCTCCTGGGGATAGATGGGAGCACGGCCAGGGTGCGCGGATGCAGTATTTCCGCAACGGTTTGTGTGCACCGCACCGTATCTCGGTGGTGTCTCCCGAGGCGACGCCGACCCTCGATCCAGGAGCGGTACGGTGCATGTATGTTTTCGGCCCTCAGGGCTGCGAACAAGTTGTGCACCGTACCTCTTTGGAGGCGGGGCCCGAAGGCAGTCCAGACATGGTATGGTGCACGGGCGCCGATCTCGTCGTATTGGACTGTCCAGGGCTTCGTGGGCCCTGGACATGACAGGGCCGTTTTTGTACCGGTGCTGTTTTGCCCTTCTTTGGGCGGTTCCGTCGCCGTGTTTGTTACCGGCTCCGTCGCCGTGATTTTTTGTTGGTTCTGTTTCTGGTTCCAAATCCCGGAGCCGTTTCTGTTGCAGTTTCCAGTCGCCGTCTTTTCCGTTTCTATTTTCAAGAGACATTTTCCGAATACGGAGGAAAAACGGCCTTGCCGTTTCAAGGGCCTTTTAAAGTCCGGGGGGACCACGCTACGTACAACGACCAAGCGTCATTCCGAGCAGAGGTGACGGAGGAGGAGGCCGAGGAGAAAGGAGGAGAAATTTTGTTAGGACAGGGAGGATGGACGGTGGGGGAAAGCAAAAATGACAGGGTGGAGGAGGGACGGGGGAGCAGACGGGCGAGGAGGAGGACGAGGAGGAGGATCTGAAGGACGAGGGGGAGGAGGGGAGGGGGGAGGGGAAAACATCGGTACGAGGAGGAGGAGGAGGAGGAGAGGAAAAGCGAGGACCGAAGCGTCCCCCTGAGGTGGAAGCATTTGCCATGCACCTGGCACTTCAGAGCGCCCCCCCACCCCCACCCGCACGGGCTCGTTGCCCTCCCGCCCGGAACCTGCCCCGCCGACATGAGGACTTCCGCTTCCCACATCACTCTTGGCGGCGCCTCTGGGGCGGTCACCAGCGCACTCGGCAGGGTGGGGGGGAGGCCGCCAGAGAGGAAACCGGCCTTGAGGAAAGCATGTCTTGCGGTTGTTCGTCGTTTTCTTGTTCCCGGGGCCTTCTAGGCTCTGGGACAGCAAGCAGTGCGGGATGAAGTGTCGCAACCAGAGGAGAAGGCTCCAGTGTCCAGGACCCAATTCCCTCAGGGCCCGTAAGTTTCCTCCATCATGTTATTGAGGGGGCCCAGCGCTGACCCAGGAAATCCACGTGGACTCCCGAGTTTCTGTGCGTGCTTGTGGCGCGTCGGCGCCCGCTTCCGCACGCGACTCGCCCAGCGCAGCCCCCCCATCTGCAACGCCGAGTTGGATTGGCGCTGGCTCTCGCTGCAGTGACGTCGCTCGGCCGCGGGAGGCGCGCGCAGCGTGTCCTCCTGTCGGGGCATTCCCGACGGAGCGGGGAGGGGGCAGTCTGCGGCTCGCCCCGCCGCTCGCCGCTCGCTGCCGCCGCGCTCCAGAGGTACGTGCCCTCGACCCAGAACCACGGGAAGGTGGTCTACAAGAAGGCCCTCGGGGGGGGGGGGGGCGCCTCGTGCTGGGCGGCGGCAGGGGAGTCGCACTTTTCCCTGCGGCCGTCCGCGCGCAACGGGGGGGGGTAGCCAGGAACACGGGGCCCAAATAGGAAGAGGACGTGCTGGGTGCAGGGTGAGTATTGCGGAGGCGGAGGCGAGTAGGCGGAGGAGGCGGAGGAGGCGGAGGAGGCGGAGGAGGCGGGGGAGGCGGGGGAGGGAGGGCCTCTACTCAGCTTGATCACAGGAATGCCCAGGACGGAGAGGCACGGAGCAGGGGGAGGAGGCGAGGGAGGAAAGGACCAAGGAGGAGGAGAGTGGTCCAAGAGGAGGTTCAGGAGGAGGATAGCAAGGGGTCCCCAGGGAGGAGGAGGAGGAGGAGGAGGGAGGTGGAGGAGGGCGGGGGGGGGGGAAGGAGGAGGAGAGGGGAGGGAGGAGGAAGGAGGAGGAGGAGGAGGGGAGGGGATGGAAGGGGAGGGGGGGAGGGAGGGGAGGTAGGGGGGGAGGAGGAGAGGAGAGGAGGGGGGAGGGAGGTAGGAAGGGGGGGGAGGGTGGTAGGGGGGGAGGAGGAGAGAGGATAGGAGGAGGAGGAGGCGGGTTTTTAGAGGGCGGGGGGTAGGGAGGTGGGGGGAGGAGGAGGGGGGTGGAGCAGGGTGGAGGGAGGAGGAAGAGGAGGACAGGAGGGGAGGGGGAGGAGGAGAGGAGGGGAGGGGGAGGAGGGGAGGAGGGGGAGGAGGGAGGAGGAGGAGGAGGAGGAGGAGGAGTGAGGAGGAGGAGGAGGAGGAGGAGGGAGGAGGAGGAGGAGGAGGAGGAGGAAGAGGAGGAGGAGGAGGAGGAGGAGGGGAGGAGGAGGAGGAGTGAGGAGGAGGAGGAGGAGGAGAGGAGGAGGAGGAGGAGGAGGAGGAGGAGAGAGGATGAGGAGGAGGAGGAGGAGTAGGAGGAGGAGGAAGAAGAAGGAGGAGGAGGAGGAGGAATGATAAGGCCTCTCGTCTCTCGATGGCTCCTTGGGGCACTCTTGGGCCACAGCGGGTCGTGGACAGGGAAGGGGGGAAGCCAGGAACACAGGGCGAGGAGGAGGAGGAGGATGAAACGATGGGTGCATGTTACCCTGCACGCGGCACGATCTCTGTGCTAGGTTTCAGCCAGTCAGGAGGGAGGGGAGGACGGGAGGAGCAGGCAGGAGAGGTGGGAGCGGGGAAGCAGGCGGGCGAGGATGCGGAGAAGTGAGAAGAGGAGGGAGGCAGCAGGAAGGGTGGAGAAGAGGGAGGAGGAGGAGGAGGAGGAGGAGGAGGAGGAGGAGGAGGAGGAGGAAAAGGAGGAGGAGGAGGAGGAGGAGGAGGAGGAGGAGGGGGAGGAGGGGGAGGGGCATCCCCTCCCCCCTCTACCCTACCTGCCTCATCCATCATTGTTCCCACTATCCTCGTCATTCGTGGCCCCCTTCTCCCTCCCTCGTCCAGCACGTTGCTGCCTCACGGCCGCCGCCCTCCTCGCCCTGACTCGCCAGGCCCCTCCCCGCCGCCTCAACGGGGGAGGGTAAGGACGAACAGTGTGGGTGTGTCCCTGGACAATTGAGGATGCCATGACCTCTTGAGACTGCATAAGAGAGAACGGGTGCAACATGCACCACACCTGGAAGGGGGCCGCCAGACCCCCTTCCCTAGACCAACATGGTTATGGAGGGGGCATCGGCTTCTAGCCAAGCCGGCACAGGCACTGTAAACGCACGCTGGCCTTTCAGATTCACACTGTTCGAAGTCCAATTCTCAGAGCCCGTTGACTTCCTCGGATATCCGGCCTCCTGCATCTGACTCTCCGTCGTCTCGGCAGAGAAGGCCTGCTTTACCTCACGAGTCCGGATATACGTTTCAGGGTCCTAGTTCAAGTCGTCGTCCTCGAAATCCTGTCGGTCTCCTCCTGTACAGTCCATCTCGTAGAGGTCTAACTCCGTGAAGCAGCATTCCGTGGAGCAGGCAAAGGAGGTAGCCTCCTCCTTCCGCTTGCGGTCCTGCTCGCGCCGCTGGACCACCACGCTGTCTGAGGTACAGCCGGGCTCCCCGAGCTCCAGAACGTTTCGAAGTAGAATGATCTCGCCCCTGCGCTTCGCGGGAGGGTCGGTGAGATGACGCGTGCCCTCTATCCACCGAAGGTGGACCTGCGGACGCTGCATAGGTGCACGAACGATGGCCACCTCGATGGCTGCCCTCGTGTCGTCCGCCAAGTCAGCCTTAGGGTTGGTGACGTGGTCGTAGCCGCCCCTCGAGTCGGTAACACTGATGACTGAAAAGCGGCCCGCCAACAGGTAGGGCCTCATGAGGTCGAATTCGGGATCCAGCATTATGGTCCTGATAGGCTACGTCATGGCCATCCCCTTTCTGGAATGACCAGCGTCTCCGCGCCAAACTGGTGAGCACACTTTCTCTTTACTTGTTTGGCTCTTCCAGGACTGGGTGGAGATGCTGGCCGCCGTCTCGCCCGTCAGGATCTTGCGACTCGTAGCGAACACAATGCAGCCAGCCTGAGAGGCTCCATCCCTGGCGTTTGCCCAGACCGTGCCGTTGAATGCCACGAAGGCCAACTCGGGAAAGGGGATATGCTTCACCGTGCTCGTGACCCCGCAAAACCCTTTGGTCATGCGTCCTATTCGATTCGCCTCCAGAAGGTCGTCCACGGTCAGGTTGGGCATCTTGCCCTGAAGTAGGCAGATTGGGCTTGACAAGTCAGGTGGTCTATCTCGGGCCAGGAAAGAGATTGACCCGCACAGACTCCTGGCCTGGTGTAGTTCAGCTGGTGTAAGTTGAGCTTGATGCTCCTTCTGTCGCTCCGTAGCGATGTCGATCAGTTGGATGTCCGCCGAGCTCTGACTCATTCAGGCCTCCCCGCGTTCGGTCAAGGGGGTCGCCTGCTGCGAAGGCGGAGGTGATGTCGACCAGCTGGAGCGTCCACCGGCTGGTGCACAGACTCCGCAATATGAGGAATGCAGGCTCCTTGCCGGCCACAGGACAATCGGTCTCCAGGTCGAGCAAGTCGGGGTCGGTGCGACCCTGGACCGTCCATCGTGCCTTTGCCATCATCCCACGGGCTTCTTGCTGGCATCTGCGTCCTCGGAGTCGCCATCTTTGTCCGTCAGTATCCATCGGGAGCCCGTGATACAACGTGCAAGATCGCGACCCTGTCGAACCGCCTCCGCTTTCCCAGGAGGTAGTACTCGCACGGTGCCAGCACGCATGACGTTATTCCATTCACGCCACTTGAGATAAAGGGTAAATGCGTGTATGTGATCACCAGCGATTGTTCTGTGACCTCCTTTGTGCCACGCTGAGCTGCACTCGTGAGACGGGCATCGATTGGCGCTGATCCCTTGCCCTTGCTCTTGCGGCTCTTCGTCTTGTGTGTAGCCCGGGTGTCTTTTTGGATATTCTCCTCTATGTAGGCAATCTTCTGAGACGTTGCTATGGCTGAAAATGGGTCGCTCATATCAGAGTGAGGGGGGCGAACGGTCATTCACTGTCTCTGGGTGCGTGGCTGAAGTGGGATTCTGCGATGCGGATTCTCGTTGATGTTGTTGGTGTTCTTGCTTGCTTGCTTGCTGGTGTTTGTTTGTTTGTGCGCTGGTTTGTTGGTGTTGTAGGTGTTGGTGTTAGCGTTGGTGTGGTTGTTGTTGATGGTATTGTTGGTGGTGGTGTCGTTGTTGTTGTTGTTGTTGTTGCTGCTGTTGTTGTTGTTGCTGCTGTTGTTGTTGTTGTTGTTGTTGTTGAATATTATTACTTCTAAAGAATAATTATTGTTGGGCCCCCTGGTGCACGCCCCCCCCGCCGCGCAGGTAAAACGATGTGATCCAGATCCGGTTGTTTTGTTGTAATCCGTTTTCCCTTGCAAAAAACACTATAAAATGACATTTCTTGTTCTAATATAATCAAATTTCAAGAATCCCTTGCAAAAAATAAGGTAAAGTGGACATTCGCGCGCGCAAGACGAAATCCTTCCAAAAGCTTAGTGTTCGGAACGATTTTAACATAAAAACATCAAAAAACCAATGGTTTTTCAACAAAAAAATGTCAAAATCTCATCCCGCGCGCTCTTGCGGATTCGTAGGAAACCCAACACTTTTTAAACATTTCTGTCAAACGGGCTTTTGCGAGCAACTTTTTCGAACTTCTGCGACAACGGTTGCGCACCTGCCAGGGCCATCATCCCTGTCAAATAATACCATGCGGGACACATTCGTTTTTTCTTCGCGCGCGCACGCCGAAATCTCCAAAAACCATTGGGCTTCTTAAGAATTTTAGCACCGCGCATCATAAAATCACACGAATCGCACCGTAGGTCCTCGAAAAACACCTGCACGACTTTTCAAAATTTCACCCGCGCGCGCTGTCCTAACAACTTCTGTGGGTGTGTACTCCACGCCAGTGTAGTAGCCACGGTCGTCCGCAGGCCACGAAGTGAAGTGTCCGAACGTCATAGGGCGGGAAGCTGGGTGTGGGTGGTGGCGAAGAGTCGTGTGGATATTTGGTAGAGCTTGCACTGCCCCCCCACAAAGTGGGGGTATTGGCTGGCGTCGCATGAAAACCCTGGCACTGGTGAGAACACTGAGCGTTCGGGTAAAGTGATTGTTGTTGTTGTTGTTGTTGTTGTTGTTGTTGTTGTTGTTGTTGTTGTTGTTGAAAGACACCGGGTCTGGCCCCCCAGCCCCCCCCCCACACCAACCAACCAACCCCTCCCACCGATTCCCCCCCGTCTGGGGGCCCTCTTGGGCCATCCTGGGGTCCCACTCGCCGTCTGCGGGGGTCCTTTGGAGCCGTCTGGGGCCGTCTGTGGGGCCTGGGGGGCCGTCTTGGGCGTCTTCCTCAAGGTTCACCAAGGTTCATTAGGGATATTGCTATTCAATGCGGCGCGTTTTCTCTTTCAGTCTACGTTTCATGCGGCCGCCAGAACGCGTGTGTGCGTTTGTGCCTGCGTGCGTGCGTGCGTCTCTCTCTCTCTCTCTCTGTCTCTGTCTCGGTCTCTGTCTCTGTCTCTCTATCTTCCTCGCTCTCTTTATGTCTTCTGGGGAGCGGAAAGGGAAGCAGCGGCAGCAGGAGGGGCTGAAGGGGAGGGAGGAGGGACGGGAGGGGAGGGATGATGACGATGATAATGAGTGGAAGGAGGGACGATGATGAGGGGAGGGGGACGATTATGATGATAATGACGGCGATGAGGATGATGATGATGATGATGATGTTGATGATGATGATGATGATGGTGATGATGAGGATATTGATGACGATTCTGATGATGATTCAGATGATGATGATGATGATGATGATGATGAGAAGGATGATGCTGATGATGACGATGATGATGACGATTATGATGATGATGCAGACGATGATGATTCTGATGAAGATGATGTTGATGATTCTGCTGATGATGTTGATGATGATGTCTATGATGATGATGATGATGATGATGATGGTGGTGGTGGTGGTGGTGGTTGTGGTGATGATGATGATGACGACGACGACGACGATAATGGTGATGATGGTGGTGGTAGTGGTGGTGATGGTGATGGTGATGGTGATGGTGGTGGTGACGATGGTGGTGATGATGATGATGATGATGATGGTGGTGGTGATGATGATGATGATGGTGGTGGTGATGATGATGAGGAGGAGGAGGAGGAGGGTGGAGTAGCTCCCTACTTGTCTCCTCCCTCCCAGCCGCCCCACCCCACTCTCCCCTCTCGTTCCTCATTAACTCCCCCTCGTTTCACTCTTTCCTCTGGCTGCTCCTCCCTGCCCTGCTGAGCTACCTGTAGCCATCCTGGATCAAGGGCTGTCCTTGGCGATCCTTCCTCATTCCTCCACCTCCTTCCTCCTTCCTCCTCCTCCTTCCTCCGTCTCCTCCCTGCGTCCTCCTCGTCGTCCTTCCTCCTCCTCCTCCTCCTCCTCCTCCCCATAGGTGATATACAGTTTTTGTTGTGTTGCAGCGAGAGCTGGTTGGTTGGTTGGTTGGTTGGTGGTGGGGGGGGGGTCCGCACGGGGCGGCAGGTCCGGATTGCGCGAGGGGGGGGAGCCCGGGAGAGGAACCGGGGGTGACGGGGTCGCAGTCCAGGGGTGTACCTTGTTGTTGTTGTTGTTGTTGTTATTGTTGTTGTTGTGGTTGTGGGTGTGGTTGTTGGTTGTTTGTTTGTTTGTTTGCTTGTTTGTTGGTTTGTGTTTTTGCTGCTGTTGTTGTATTGTGGTGTTGTGGTGTTTGTTGTTGGTGCTAGTGGTGGTGGTGCGGTTGTTGTCCTTGCTGGTTGTGTTGTTGTATGTGATGTTTTTGGTGGTTATGCCGTTGCTCTTTGTTGTTGTGGTTGGTGTTGCTGGTGGTGATGATGTTGTTGTGGTTTGTGGTGTTGTCGCTGTTGGTGTTGTTGGTTGTGTTGTTGTAAGTGATGCTGGTGTTGTCGTTGGTGTTGTTGTGTGTGTGTGTGTGTTGTTGCTTTTGCTGTTGCTGTTGCTATTGTTGTTGTTGGTGGTGGTGATGATGGTGGTGTTGTTGTTGGTGTTGTTGTTGGTGTTGTTGCTGGTGTAGCTGTTTGGCGTCCCCCCCCCCGCGACCCGGCCCGCGACCCACCCGCGCGACCCACCCCGCGACCCACCCGCGACCCACCCGCGACCCTGTCCGCGACCCACCCCGCGATCCACCCGCGACCCACCCAGCGACCCACCCGCGACCCACCCCGCGACCTACCCCGCGCCCACCCTCGACACACCCCGCGACCCACCCCGCGACCCACCCCGCGACCTGCCCCGCGACCCACCCGCGACCCACCCGCGACCCCCCCGTGACCTGCCCCGCGACCCACCCTTCGACCCACCCTGCGACCCACCCTGCGACCCACCCACATTGCTTTCACGAATAAAACGGCGCCTGCGGCGGGCTCATTACACAAATTGTAAAAGTTCGGCGTCTGCGGCGGGCTTCTTCAGAGCCTCGCAGGCTGCCGACGTCCCCGCCGCCCCCTCACTCTTATCCGCATCTGCGGCGTGCTACTGTATTTCGCTTGGTTGTGATAGGCACATCGTCGAGGTTAGCATAGCGCTGCTCTCCTTCTCCTGCCCCTCGTCCTCTCCTCCTCCTCCTGCTCTTCCTGTTCCTCCTCTACCTCCTCCTCCTGCTCCTGCTCCTCCTCCTGCTCCTCCTGCTCCTGCTCCTCCTGCTTCTCCTGCCCCTGCTCTTCCTGCTCGTGCTCCTCCACGCCTCCTGCCCCCCCTCTTCCTCCTCCTCCTCCTCCTCCTCCTCCTCATCCTCATCCTCATCCTCATCCTCCTCCTGCTCTTCTCCTCCTCCTCCTCCTCCTCCTCCTCCTCCTCCTTGCCATCACGCGGGGGGGGACAGGACGAGAAGTCCAAGGGCCTCGACGTCCTCATCTACTACTGGGACGAGCGGGACGGACCGGAGCTCTGTGGCTGGTGGTTCGGGCCCAGCGTGGGCGGCGACCAGGTTTGGGCATACCATCCCAGGCGCGCCTTCTCCCAAGGGGGGAGGGATCTCCACGAGGAGTGGGGTGGAGGCGAGGGTTATGATGTTCCAGCCTACTTAGCCTTGATCACCAGACAGAATGTCGGGCACCAGGAAAGTACCGAAACTGGAGAGTCTTCGCGTGTCGTTCCCTTCGAGGCGATACTCGTTCGACACTGCTTCGATACTGTTCTGGGTGCTCGAAATAGTTAATTTCTGGGATGTGGTCCTGAAGTATGATGGGGGTAACATACGGCGAGGGAGGATCAGAAGAAGGGCAGGCTGAGACAACGGGCTCAGTCTGGGCATTCCGCCCCAGAGGCGCCTTCTCCCAGGGAAGGGAGGAGGGGTCTCCACGAGGAGCGGGGGCGAGCCCGGGGGTGGCATTTGAAGGAGGAGGAGGAAGAGGAGGAGGAGGAGGAGGAGGAGGAGGGGGAGGATGGGGAGGAGGGGGAGGAGGGGGAGGAGGAAGCAGGAGGGAGGAGGAGGTGGAGGAGGAGGAGGAGGAGGAGGAGGAGGAGGAAGAGGACTACAAGGACGACAAGGACGACAAGGAGAAGGAGGAGGAGGGGCGGAGGGGTCTCCACGAGGAGCGGGATGGAGGCGAGGGAGGATCAGAAGAAGGGCCAGCCGAGGCCAAGGGAAGGCCTGGGCATAAGCCACCCCAGAAGTGCCTTCTCCCAGGAAGGGGGGGGGGGATCTCCACGAGGAGCGGGGGCGAGCCCGGGGTGGCATTTGAAAGAGGAGGAGGAGGAGGAGAAGGGGGAGGGGGAGGAGAAGGAGGAGGGGGAGGAGAAGGAGGAGGACGACGAGGACGACGAGGACGACGAGGAGGAGAAGGAGGAGGAGCTATGGAGCTATGGATATTGCGACCATGTCGGTTAGAAGCATGAGACTCTTATACATCGAGGTGACTGACAGACACGTGCGTGCATGCACAAACGATGCGAGTCGGGCATACGAAAATGACCTTCAATTACTTGCTGCGGGACACCGTGCCACCTCACGAATCACATGTTCACCCTATTGCCATGCCCACCAACACACGAAGACATTGTGACCAAAAAGCCCATTGAATGGCCAGACAAATGCAAACGAGAGACATCCCCCTTCATCGTGATGCTGAAGGGACTCAACATGGACTTGCACCTGCGCGCCACAAGCAGTACGCGACGATGGTTCCAGAACACCTGACCAGCCTGCCAACACAACCTGAACAGTGCCAGGCCGTAAACTACCCTGCACATATCT